TTTAAATGGCTCTGTCATTTTAGGGTGTCCATAACAACGGGTTGATTGAGTCCAAACCTGCTGTCAGAAAGAACCAACGGAATGGAAAAAAGCCAGGTGGAAGAATTGTGAAAGATGGGTCTAAAAAAACTCACAACAACAGAGGTAAGGAGTGTTACTTCTCTGACAAAAACATTTCTGCCATCTGCACAACTTCTTCGCTACCATTTGAGAGAGAAACACATGTGCATGTGAGCGGGTCACTTGAGTTCAGGATTCTTAACCTGTTGCCACATTTTCAGTGGAGAAGAAACAGTCATCAAATAAAAGCACAACAAAAACTGACTCATCCATTAGATCATTGCAATATTTCCTCTTTTTCTGATGTTTCTTGGGGACATGAAGCCTTCCTGCCGAGTCTCCTCTAACCCATTACCAGATACCTTTAAATATATCTTTCTTACACAGAGTGCATTGTCAATTATTTTGTTCCAATTGAACCTTTCTACCTCGCAGTTGAACAAAGCAGTACAACAAAAGCAATTTGTCTTTTTTCATTATTATCAGAAAACTGCTGCCAACTGTATGTCTGAATTCAGCCATCCTCTTTGAAGAATCATCTTTTGTTGCAGTTATATCTATAAAAAATTTGGATAAGCCACTAGCAGCTATGTTAAGCTATGGACAAACCATTTAGTTCATTCTTCTTTATAAAACAGCTCCAGCTTTGAATCGATTGAGAGCAACTAGGGTTAATCAGCTCTTCTCGGTCATATGTCAGTTTTAGGCCTTGACTTAACTGAGTAATATGACAGTGTATGAAGGTGCTCTGATCTAAACAATGATCTGATCTAAACAATATAAGAACCTGACTGATTTAACACTTATCAGAAGATGTTAAAAATCTAGTGATGTTTAAAACCAAACTATGTTTGAAACTTCTCCAGCAATTTCATCCTTACCCTGTCTGCTCTGCTCCTTGTAACTCTTGATACTTTTGCAAACTTTCCTCCTTCTCTTTCAGTGTGTTCACCACCACGAACAATGAGTCCACCTTTGGGACTGCACTATTTGGACTTGCCTTACACATCCAGGTCAGACAGAAGGCTGTACATTGGCAAATCCTCCACCCTCCCCACTCAGGAACACACAACTTCAAGCCGCTGTGCTGACATGGTTAGTCTACCTGGAGGAGCAACACCTACCCACCATCAGCAGTGGAGTAACTCAGCGGACAGTAGCCATGCCTGGGGGACCGTAGAGCACACCTGCCGCCGGCCCCTCACAGAGTACTGCTTGCTTTCCCATGAGTCTGCACTGTTACATGAAAAGGAATGGTGTGGGAGACACCAGTTGGAGATAGACCAGAATGGAAGCCTAAATCGGAACTGCCACCTTCTCCCTAAGGTGCCACGATCTATCACTGAGGTGGATCTGTCAGAGTCCAATGTAAGCAATGACTATTCTTCTTCAAACCCCCAAAAAAAGGACAATTATTAAACAATCCTTTAACTATAGACATGCAGACGTGTTCCCTTAAACTTTACATAAAGGTTTGACACAGTACATCCTTGGATTTTTGTTTTCCCCTTCACTCTGTGCTGTGCCTTAACATGGTCCCATAATGACCAAATGATACCACGGGAGCCTCTCATTTGGAGGCTGGTTTACTTTAAATGCTCCCTCTATGATGGTGGACCTCCATGTATTAGAGGCTTTAGGTTTTGGGGATGTTTCCCCAAAGAAGATTAAGGACCAGTTACATTAATCTTTGTAACAGGGTGGGATGTTTTAACCACCAAAGCATGCCCAAAGTCGCACCTCGAGGGCCGCTGTCCTACAGGTTTTGGAGGTTTCCCTGCTTTAGCACAGCTAATTCTTATTATTGCAGTTCAGCAAAAGCCTGTTAATTAGCAATCAATGATAATCAGCTGTGGCGGTGGAGGGAAACCTCTAAACCATAAAACCTTCAAAACTTAAAGGAGTCATAACCTGGTG